GAGTACAATGGCGCGGACCTTGGCAGCCCTGACATGTTTGCTGCTCGTGCCAAACATGACCGACATGTTAGTGGCAACTCACACGGCATGACTTCTCCTCTCTACGACGCAGCTACCGGCAAAGGCATGGACCGCATCGAATCGAAGGACATCGTGGCGCTCATGGATCACCTTACTGTTCGCGACGCCCAGCGCAATGCTCGGGACACCGAAATCCTCGTCACCCTTGTGCGAAGCGCCGCGGAGATGCGCAACCAGTTGGATGACCTGAGGCAGTTCATCAAGACCCAAGACACGATGATCATGAACACCACCGACAAGCGAGTCAACCTTGCGGAGCAACGCATTCTTGGCGGTCCCCGTCCTCAGCCCCAGACACCACCTCGTATCAACCGTACCTCTTCAGATGACGATATCGAGACCAAAAAGAAGAACGTCTTTAGGCGTGCTCTCAAGGGCCTCAGCTCCGGCAAGGGAGATGGCGATATCAAGCACATTGAGCAAATGCTCGTTCAGTTGCTTGGTGAAGTGGAGGGCCTGAAGCAAGTCAACCAGCTTTCGTTGGATCAGCAGGCGAGGACGAATAGTCTCAACTCGTATGAAGAACTCCGAGCAAGCGGTGACGCTGGTTACGAGCCAGAGGGCCGTGCCAATACTGCCTCTTCTCCGGATCAGTCGGGCTACTTCTCTAATCCTTCGTCGTCCCGCCGCATCCAAGATCTTCACTCTGGATACGATGTTGTACCAACGAACCGTATTAGCACAGTACGGGAAGAAAGCGACGAGGAGTACGAAGAGCGTACCCGCACCCCTGGCTACGAGAACACCGAGCGTATGACAACGCCAACCCAGGAGGCTTTCCCCGAAAAGCGTGCATCGCTAGGAACTCCGCCACAAGCTTCAAGGGCAGCGCGGAACTCACAGAGCGATGACACTACCCCCAAGCGCAAGCACAAGTCAAACTCATCGTCCATCTTTGGTATTCCCAAGATCTCGCGATGGTCAAAGACCACTACCTCCACCAACCCAGAGAGCCTGCCACGCAACAGCGGGTCTGGAGAGAGGCGACCCCACTCCATGCACTCCAGGTCTTCTTCCCAGGATGACTACTACGATGACGAGGAGCCATACGAGCAGCATGCCGATGACAGGCTTCGTTCCAACACATCCCTAGCCAGGGAAGAGCAGCGTTCGATACGTTCTGCACGCTCTCCATCGCCTCTTATCCCAGAGGACATTCAATACGAGATGGAAGACCCCAAGTACCAGGCGCACCGCAACTCGCTGAACCTGCAGCACCCCCAGCCGCGACCTGGGCCAACCGGTCGTCACCAGAACAATTTGGAGACGCAAGCGCAAATCTACAATCCTGTTCGCTCAAGCATAGGATCTCCTGACTACGACCAATGGGGTAGCATGCCATCGCTGGCACGCAACCGTCTTTCAGGCATGTCGGCTCAACAGGGCGCTGGCAACCTGTCGCCAATCTCATCAGATGGCTACAGCCAACACTCTGCTTCTGAGCAGCAGGCCGGCCCCCCTCGGCCTCCCAAGATCGCGGATGACGGCCCACTCGTCCCACCGCCACAGCTGCTTGCTGGCTACGGCCAGACAAGGCAGATGTACAGCTCTCCGAATGAGTTCGGTAGCCAGGGTGCTTTGACACCACTTGCACCTATTGCAGAGGTGCGTTACTCACTCGAGACTGACCGGGGCCATCGCGTAAGTTGAGCTCGCGCCTCAGAAAGACTGAGGACAAAGCTAACATACGCCCAAAGATGACGCCCACTCCCTCGCCTCGCCCGAGCAGCCAGTACCTCCGTTCCGAGGCTAGCATGAGCAGCCCGCAGCGCAAGATCACAGGCCCCAGGCCCATGGGTAGCAGGAGCCCTCAGCCTCAGAGCCCGCTACAGCACTCGGATACTGTTGTTCGCAGGAAGCCGATTCAGGGTGAGTTTTTGACTACTTGAGCGTAGTTGAAGATTTTTTTTACTAACGAACATGGACAGACGATGAAGAGTCTCTAGAGAGCTACCGCAGCAGTCTCGACTCGGAGATTTTCTAGGCGAACAATCTTCTCAAGCCCGGTATCGTACAAAGCGGAACGAGACAGACTGCAGTTGCTAGCTGGGTGGAGAGTAATGGGCAGAAGGGCGACGCTCGGTTTCTTTCTCACCACCAACAACAACGGCCGAGGAGTGTCAAGAATTCGCAACGGCATAGGTCACCGCTTAGGCATGTGACGTTTGCTGAAGAGTAGGAAGAGTAGTAATAATGGGGGGATGGGGGATTGTTGCGGAAGAACACACAAAAAAAGGGTTCGATGGTTTTTTTCATGGGGCTTGCTTCTTCATTCGCTTGGAATGGTTTCCGCGCATATATCACTTTTGCGAGCATGGCGTTTTTTTTTCTTGCAGTCATGAAGTTTTGAAGGGAGTCTTGAGTGGCGATTCATTCATGAGGGACGAACTTCATGGCTTTATGAGAGACGATCCATCGGCGTATTTAGCAATGCATTATTGTTTTGCCGGTCCACGATACTCTTGACTTGTTGGCGCGTACGTTCTGTGCTGTCCCTTGATCTTTGTCGTCATACGCTGCGGATCTGGTACCTGGATGTCCACCACCACCACCCTACCAGTACGCGACTAACAACGGCAAACCTTTCCATCCACCAAAGGCCGTACCGCATTTCCAGGTTCCTGCTCATAAGTCTCTTCACTAATCGGCAAGGCTTTTCCAGATCGCGAAAGGATTCTCCATCCTCGGCCCGCTGTTATGAGGTCGTTGTGATGTCATCAGGGTCCACCACTCTTTCATCATCATCGATGAGGTCTGTGGTCTGAAGCTAGCTGTTGTGCATACAAAAGGTTTATAATGCCCCTCCTGAAGTTACCCCTCCATTGCATATACACACACTTTCGACTTCTTTGATACCCAAATTCCACGTTTTCACCAATACACACTTCAGAACAACGAGCTACGCATACGATACATATTTGAAAAGATGTCTGCCGAATACAAGAACACCGACGTCAACGAGATCGCCAAGAAGGCTGAGCAGGATCTTAACAGCCAGAGCGCTGTTCACGGCCATAATGCTGGTTTGAGCAGTACGTTTATCCTCTCCCTTTCCTATCCCATCACCCCCAACCTCCTCCCTCCTCTCTCCTGCCTCCCACCCATCCAGCCAAACCCCACCAAACCCCAACTAACCCCCCCTCCAGCAACCGAATCCGGCGTCGACACCGCCAACGTCGAAGGCAAATTCCCCGGCGCCCAAGTAAAATACGGCTCCGCCGCCTCTGGCGCAGGCAATAACCGCGAGATCCCACTCGACGAGGGTGGCAGCATCAAGGCCAACGGTCAGCCTACCAAGGCGGGTGACTTTGCGCATGGTGGTGTGGGTGCGCCTGAGGAGAGGGATCAGACGTATGTGCACACGCATGGTGGGGATGATGAGATTAGGGGGAATGTTAGGAACTAGGATGGTGAAGATGGTAGGGGAGGGAGGCAAGAGCCTCCCGTTTATGAGATGAGATGAATGGAATAAGATCAAATCATGCTGGTGTGTATGGAGATGTGGTGTTGTGGTGTTGTGGTGCTGCGAGGCATGGGGCCCTTATACTTTTCCTCTCGCTCTGTTTTTATGTTTGCGCTCTGGACGATGGTTTGCTTGCTCCGCTCTGTCGCATGCTTTCTTCACGTTGGGCTCTCTTTGCTCTCTTCTCGATCTATCTATGTCTTCTTTGACAGCTGCTCTTTCGTTCACTGAAGTCTTACAGTATTCACCTCTCACCATTTATGGCACATGTCACGCACAATCATGCACATGGCAGTCACGACGAGTGCGAGAAACATGATAACTAACTCTAACATCATGTAGTAACTACACTGGGCGCGTCACGATGGGAAACTGTCTGCCGTGCATGCCTACAAGAAGCCGTTGTGCCTCCTTCCATCTTTCTTGCTCATGTAGGTAGCGCTTGAACATAATCAATGCAGGACCGATGCACTAATAACAGTAGACTGTAACCTCAATCTCGATGCGACCCTGGCTTGGTGTAAACCGTGTCACTAGAACAGACTCCAAGCCCATACTTTCCGTTGTGTATCTCGACAGTTCAAAAACGCAGTTGGAAAGTATCAGATGGAACTTCCGCCTTGATCAACGTACTGGTCTTGACATGCTACTAATCGCGCAGATCACAGGTCAAACGGTTTCTCGGATATCGAGAATGGGCGTATCCACCGTATTCCCTGTTGCCGCTGCGCGGATCTGCATCGTTATGCCCTTGACTGTGATACCTATCCATCAGGGCGCAGTACTGTCGGCGGAATGCCTTTTGCGTCGCTTTGCGCAAGAATCGTACGATGAGGACGACGGGACTACAGACTCGGAAGGCAAGATGCAGTGTTGCGCGCCGGATTCTCGTTGGCTGTCGTCATCGAGGTTGTTGTGCTACAGCATGCGTGTCGATCGGAGACGTTCACATACAGTAGATGTCGCTATGATGTAGGCTATAATGTCTCGTATGAAGTCTCACGTATTGAGTAGAGAAGGACCATAAGAGTTTGGAGGCTTCTTAAGCTATATTGCAGGGCTAGCTAGGTAGGTACGCTCGGCGCACCTGATGGAAGGGTAAGAGCGCTGGAGATGTCGTACTTGATCTCTCGGGCACATCACTTCACATGCTCTTCGAAGCATGCATAACCGACGACATAGCAAAGAGCGGTGTAGACAACCCTGGCGTCTACATTCTCGTTTCAATATCCAGAGGCATGGTGTTGCTGCTGTACTACATGCGCTAGCCGATGTACCCACGACCAGCTCCGCGGCAACATCATCAACGACCAAGAATGCCCTTGAGGTCAGCAGTATAAGAACACGTCCTCGCACGCAGATAATGGAATCATCACATTCATCATACGAGACAACTCCTGCACTACCAATCTTCACAAAGCCCATCACTTCAACTTACAACACCACACTATCTACCATGTCGGGTAACAATAACAACAACACCGGCAACACTGGCGGTGGAGCCAAGAACACCCCCATGACCAAGGAGGACGCTGGTAGAATCCAATCCACTCAAGTAAGTCTTCCCACCACGTCTCGCCGAACCACACTCTTCTTCCGATGCTAACATGTCCTTCTTCGTCCAGGCCAAGTCCGGCGGCGACATGTCCTCCGGCGGCTTCGCCGCTCGCGCCCAGGGTGCTGGCGACAAGAACGCCAACGCTGGCGGTGAGACCAAGAAGTGAGGTTCTGGTTGGGGTACACGCTAGGCGGAAGGGGCTTGGGATGTGATGATGGAGAGGACTTTCGTTAAGGGAGGGCTTATGGGATGCATTCAGGCTGTCTACATGTTTGGGTTCATGGCGAGTAGATAGTATACAATGTGAATGCGTTCATACAAGACTGGAAATTTCGTCAATCACGTTGCAGGCTACAATAACAATAGAAGGTTAGTTTGTGAGTTTGTAAGAGACCTTGAGGTCTACATTGATGTTAGGTCCTTGTGGAAGTATGTAGTCTGTTGTGATGTATGCTTCAAACCTTTCCTGGCAAGTATCTTCGTTATGTGGGGTGATCATGTAGTCATTACAGTACACTCAACCACGTCCATCCGCCTAATCTCTACCTAACGTAACCTTTTCCATCCATCCTGCGAGGAAGTCCTCCTCAACACTCTGCACAATGCTCAATGCCTTCTCTGGCGCAATCCACGACTTCCGGCCTTCATCCGGTAGCACCTGCTCCACAACGCCCCACTCAATATCCACAAGAAGATCACTAGCGGGGCTCTGGTCTAGTCGAACGGACGAGATATCGACAGAGGGACTCACAGGCGCCTCTTGTTCAGACGGTGTGTTCAATGCCTTGCGTGCCTGCTCTTTCTTCATATGCGCAAACGCCCAATGTAGTACGAGCATGGGACCTTCCCTCTCGAAGATGTCGCGCGGTACCTGATTCTCTTTCACCGCTACAAGAAAGTCTTCTGGTCGTACAGTCCTTAACTCGGAGACCATGCGTTGCAGTTTCCAAACTGCCTGCATCATGTCGCGCCGAGCCCTGTCTGGAAAGCAACACAAGTCAAAGCCGCTGTTCATCCAGATGTGGACGAGAGCTTCTTGGTCCGACTGGTCATCCTCGCCACATGTTTTAGAGAGCCAGGCTTTCATATATGCCTTGATGAAGGCGTTCGCGGCGGGGTCGTAGAGGTCGCTGGCGTTCTGACCGAGCGACTCGGCTATCGTGATGAACGCCATTACGATGACATTGTAGCGAACGACATCGATGCGATTGGACAAAGTATGGAACTTGGAAACTCCGTAGTACCAAATAGCGCGGTTGACGTCGAAAGGCTTGGCCGAGTGAGGGCGGTAGTTGCCACGAGCAATATCGTTGTAGTTGCGGAAGAAGAAGTCGAGCTGAAGGTCACTGGGGATGTGTGGGATGTACAACGCCGCCTCGTTGACATTGTAAATGTCATGGATAGTGAGCGGTCGGGTGAGTACCGAGGAATGTATCTTGGAGAGCTTCTGTGCGAGGTTCGCGCGCGCCTTTGCGTCAAGGGCGGACAGGTCGTTGGCGCCAGAGAGGCTCAAGCTCGCCATAGTCGCTTCCATTGGTAGTTGTAGCGAGTGGGTCGTTTGTTTTTAGGAGACGAGAGTATTGAGTAGAGAGATATGAAGTGTTGGACTTACGAGCGTGATCGCGAGTTGACCGTATGTTAGATTGAGAACGCCGAAAAGAAAAGTGGGGCTAAGGTGAAAGAGCAAACGGCTCCTTACGACAAGCGCACACTCACCCCTCATGGAGAAAGGGGTAAAAAAGCTTGATGAGGTCATCTTTCATCTCCGTGTATGGTAAAGCTACAAGTCATTTGCTGTACGAAGATTATACATCACCTATGATTTTCTGACAGGATAGATGGAAAGGGTTACTTTGACAAGGTGTCAGATTCACATCATATGCGCTCTCTACTTCCCACCACGACCTCAGTCCAACCCTCTCCTCTCCTACCATCCACAACCTAAATGTACTGAACAGTAACCTGCGAGCCGCTGTTGATAGTAACATCAGTGTAAACAGTGCTACCCTGCTTAAGATCAATAATAGTAGCACCGCTCAACCCATCCGTTCCACCAGTGCTCAGACTAGCACTAGCCTGCGTAAAGACAACAGTACCAAAGTTGCTCAGCGCAACCAAGCTACCTCCGGACTCAAAGTCCTCTACAATCCACTCTGCATTCTGACGGCACAGGACGGAGCCACTGGGTGCGCTAAGTGTCTGGCTGACCTTCTTTCCGGTGCTCACGTTGGTGAGCGAGACTGTGCCCTTGGTAGTGGAGGTAGCGACAATGTCGACTTGGATGACGTTGCCGGCCTTGACGGCGAAGTTGCTGAAGTCGTAGGCGTAGTCGGGGTACCACTCGTACCAGGCGTCGTAGGATACAGCGCCGGAGCTGCTGACGGTGAAGTCGATACCTGCTTGGAGCAGACCGCTGCCGCAGGTATCGCCGTCGATACCAACCCAGGCTGAGGAAGACTCGGTGCCACCAGAGCCAACGTGCTTGGGTGTGGGCACGGTGAAACGTCCGGTGGCTGACTTGAAGTAGCCGGAGGAGGGTGTCTCGAGGACGGCACCGGACCAATTGGATGAGTAGTCGACGTGGGCGGTGGTGTTGTCGACATCTGCGACGAACTTGGCATTCTCTTTCGCGGCTGTGCCGACCAGGATCATGGGCTGGGTCCTGTGACGGCGACTGCCATCAGCACGAGATTGAACGCGCTCAGCGAGGGAGGAGGGACGGGCCAGAACGGAGCCAGTGATGGCGGCGATGATAGCGATGGAAAGCTTCATGATGAAGGGTAGAATGATTTTGCGGGACTAAGAAGGTAGTCGAAGCGAGAGAAGGGATCGAGAGTAGAACGATAGACTGCTGAAGCGAATGCTGCGTTAATGAGTGAAGTGTAACCAGCGGCCTTCGACACTCCTTATATACTTCCCAAGTCGAACCCGTACTATGTGTCGTATACCTTTACGCTCAATTGTTATACGATGGCGCGATGGCCCAGATCCAACACTTGATGATACCTTCCTAATACCTACTGGTCAGGCGCATAGCCATCCAGCTAGATTCGCCCTCCATGCTGAACTGGAAAGCGGCCTACAAGATCCATCAGGTCGAACGCCGAGATACGAATTACTGATTGGTAGCCCAGGGTCGTATGGTGAAGACCTCTTCACCAAGAGATCGGCGAATTTCCGGACTGGACAGGGGTATGAGTGGACAGTCCCGCTCGTGTGTTGACTCGGTAGGTATCAGAAGACCCTGATAAGTGATTTTCCTGGTGTATGGGACGAAGTCCGCCTATCACATCACTGTCACTTCGACCACATGTGCGTGAAAGTGTCCGACTTCGTGGTTGTCGTGCTTGCATCGTCAGGTTCTCCTGCCTCTTTGGGATAACGCCCGAACGCTCTCTTGCAGATTCGACAGCGAAAGCGAAAGAGGTGGTGGGAGATGCGGTGCTGGACTGTATTGCGAGATCTTTGAAGGTGCCGCATGCTCTTCGTAACGTAGTAGATCTAATCTCCCTGCGTTCGTCATGATTTCCGTCACCTTTACTGTGCGATGGCATTTCTCGCTGTACCTCGGCTCTCGAGAACATCGACATTCTCAAATGCTAATGTGCAAAGGGCCTATGCAACGACGGAAAGCTCCCATAGCGTAGATATGCAGGATAAATTAACCGCAGCAGAAGCTTGTCGTTGCTTATCAGTTGGCGTGTGACTTGGCAAGGATTGGTGTGGTGGTGCTAGTACGGGATAGGAAGTTCGTGATAGGTGATGCCCGGCGTGCACACCTGATGAGTAGTAAGCTACGCATCTGCCAAGTTAGCTTGCGAAAGCTTGTTCGCGGCGAAATGCTTGAGTAGAGAAGGTGTGATGGGTGGTGTTGAAGGACAACTGGGTAGTTCGAAATAGACAGGAGGAAGGCCCGATCGGAAAGACCCGCGGACATTGCGCCATTGTGTTCGGCTGAGCCTCGGCATTACGAGCCAGCCGCACAAACAGCCAGACCGCGACATCGTTGCAACGCCATCAACAACAGGACTTTTGAGATGGCTATAACGACAACATCGCAGGATACAGCGGAGGATGACAAGAGTCTGAGTCGCATTGGGGCATACATCGTTGTTGTACGCCAACAATGGAAACGTATAGAGAGCAATGTATACTTCAACTTAGGATGTGACATGTACTTTCTGGACTCTGAGATCCTTGTCGGCGTCTACGGGAAACTTGACTCAGCTGTTTCGCATCAAAAATGCCATGGCTGCGAGCGTGCGGCGTAGCAATTACGGCATCAACACCCTCAAGAACGCTGCCTGATCCTCAGCTGCACTTTGCTGAATACCTACCTAGGTATCAACACATCCAGATTCTCTCTAGAAACAAGCCTCCGCCTATTCGAATATGTCAGCCTCACCAGACGCACGCGTCCGAATGACTTCGAGTTCGAGGACTGGATGTACAGTCTATTCATACCCATCCCATGGCGGCATCATCATGAAGAGGTTTACAAACCCTGAGCTGGAGTGCCTTGGCCTCTCGCGCACAGATTTGGACTCAGGACCATTCCCGGACCAAGAGCAAGAAGACGCGTTCGCACTACGTATGCTCCACCTAGGCGCGCGTTGGTGGCCATCCCTCAAGTTCTACGAACGCCACACAAGAGACGAACCATATCCTTACGGCCACCACTTCCCATCCGACCTGCATGTTGCCTACACGCCTACTGGTTCAGGCATCTGGGTTCTAGCAGTATGGGCCGAAAACTCACAAACCTGGTTGGAAGAATACGATCCGCCTCGGAGACCCGAAGACTGGGTGGACTTGGCGTATTGCCGAACCATGGAGGAGCGATGTAAGATTTTGGAAGAGTTTGGCGCGACGTTTTATGAGGATGTTGAGCAGTGTGATAAGCTGCCGTGGAGTTTGGATGAGGGTATTAGAAAAGGCAAGAGATACGAGAAGTTGCTGCGGAAGATGGAGGATGATGAGTATTTCGAGGATTGGATGAATAGTCTGTGATTGACTGATGTTAGTGAAGGCAAGAGTAGATCATTTGCTTTAGAAGACGGAGGAAGATACATCGACTTATTATAGCTACGACAAAAGTATATCGAGATAATACATGTCGTTGCTACTTCAGCATAGCCATCATCTGAGCAAACCGCTTCCACGCGCTCAGCATTCCGTTCTGATCTTCACAGATCTCCGCACACCTTGCTCTGTTCTCAAGCCTAACCCTGCTCCGCCGCCTTGCGCATACGCTTCTCATGCTTCTTGTGCCTCTTCTTTGTCCTCTTCGCATACTTCTCCAAAGTCGCAATACGGTTCTTCGCCCAGTTGGGACCGGCGTCGGGAGGCGGGGCTGTAGAAGGGCATCGTAGTTAGCCAATGGATCGTATAGATATAGAACAAAGCAGCAAATAGACTCCTTACTTCCAAGGTCTCCCCTAAGCAGACGTTCCTTCTCGTCCTCTCGACGCTCATGCTTCCGCTCGAAACGCTGATGACGGTGTCCGGACGATTCGGTGCGACAGCTCTGGGTGCGCTTCGGGTTTCGTGGTTTGGGGTCGTGCGGGTTCTGCGAGGGCATCTTGGTGGGGTGCGAGTATTTTCCCTTGTGGTGGTTAGGCATGCGATATGTTATGGAACTTGCCTCTCTGATCTATACCTTGCCCGGGTACCAGTACGGGTCGTTCTCTTTGGTGTAGTTCTTAGTCAAGTCGCGTCGGATACTCCTCGCGCTGTCCTCCCGGTCGGCATGCTCGTCGTCATCAGTCAAAGGGCTGCATTCACGGTCTCTGCTGTCGTCGCGACCGCGTATCGATCCATCGTCTCGATCACCCCCAGGACTGCGTGGACGATGCTCCCACTCATAGCTTGGCTCACGTTTGAAGCCGTCTCTTGAGCGATTGCGTGAGCGATCATCAGATCCGCGCCTCGAATCGCGTCTATCATCACCATCCAGACGGTGGCGTGAACGGTCATCGCGATCACGGATGCGGTCCCGGCTGCGATCGTCGTTCCGGCGGTCGGGCGACCGGTCACGTCGGTCACGGCTGCGCTCGCGCCTGCGATCATCGACCCGGCGGTCGCGTGATTGATCATGTCGGTCACGACTAAGCTCGCGTCTGCGTTCATCTCCCCAGCGGTTGCGTGGACCGTCGTCTCGCTACCGGCTTGTTTCGCGTTTGATGTCGTCGCCCCAGCGGTTGCGAGGACGTTCCTGACGCTCACGGCTGTGCTCACGTCTACTATGATAGCTATCATAACCGTGGTAAGTCTGTGGGTAGCTGTCGACGCGTCCCTGTGGTTCGTCGCTTGGCTCGCGTTTGACGCGATTGTCGATGGGATCCTGGAGGTCCGACATCGCGCCGCGGGATGGAGTAGTCAATGCGAAGAGAGTGTAATGAGAACGAGAAAGGAAAAGAGAGAGGACGGATTGAAGTGACGGAAGAGAGACCGGACGTGGTTTGAGGAAGCGACAAAAGAAATGACTCGTCGTTGCGAACTTGAAGCCCCGCTGTGACAATTAGGGAGGAACGACGGCAGTATACGGAAGGGAGCAGCGGGCCCGCAATGCCTGACGACGAATAGAGTGCGCCTTTGACTCAGACTGCGGTCTGGTCCTGGTTCGTACTGGTCATTGAGATGGTACTTTGGTATACGGTATGATTGCGATAGCTTTGATGAATGCCTGACGACGCGTCCCGCGTTGGGCGCGTATGCTGACACTCTATCAACACTTACGCGCAATCCAAACTGAACACAGTCGAGATACCTCAGTCTTCGCGATGAGAGCGCCACATGATGACTTATCTCAGGCGCAGGAGAAGAAAGTAGCCGTACCCATGACGTCACCACGCTAGTTCGCATCCATCTCGACAGGCACGGCCGAACACGAAGGTGACAAAGCTGCAAAACACTGTTGCCTCGGATTACCATATACTTCCATAGCAGCCGCCACCAAAATATCGTACGCGCACATATCGAACACAATGTATCTCCTAACACCAAGCTGTACTATCGCAGCAACTATACACTTACAATCGAAATTCTCACCGCGGACCAAAGATTGAGAAACAGCCAGTAGTAGTGCCACAACCCATCTCTACAAAACCGCAATATGGACAGCGTATACACAGTCCGCGCCTCCCCAGGCGAAGGACTAGGCTGTTTCGCTTCCACGACCATCCTGCCGGGTACGCTCATCCTTAGCGAAACACCCTTATTCAGCGTCGCAGAACCGCGCAGCAACAGCGCCGTAGTCTCAGCTTTTGCTTCATTAGACGACTCGCAAAAAACCCAGTATCTATCGCTGTACGCGCAGAAAACCTACAAATTGAAAGAGAATGGAGAAGAAGAAGAGGCAAGAGTAATCGACATCTTCAACTCCAACGCCTGGCAAACTGGATCAAAAACATCCATCTGCCCCCTCGCCGCGCGCTTCAACCACAGCTGCATCCCCAACGCATCCTTCGCATTCAACCCGCTCACTGGAAAAATCACAATCCACGCCATCGTGCCCATCCCTTCAGACACGCAAATCAAACTAAGCTACGAGCGACCCTACCAAACCACCCTCTCGCGGCGCGCAAAACTATCATCTTACGGGTTTACATGCAGCTGTCCGGCGTGCAGCGACCCCACCCCCGATAGCGATACCCGGCGCGCGCGAATGGTGGTGCTGGACGCGCGGATCCGGACGGGGCGGCGCCAGCTGTGGAGACGGCCTGTGCCGAAGGCCGCGTTGGAGTTGTGCAGGTTGCTTAAAGAGGAGGGGTTGGTGGGGGAGGCGTTGGGGCTTGCGTGGCATGATGCGGCGGTGGGGTGGAGGAGGCATGGGAGGTTGGATATGGCTGTGGCTTGTGCGGTTAAGGAGTGCGAGATTGCGAGGGTGTGTTTTGGGAGAGGGAGTCCAGCAGTGGGTGTCAGTGAGGCTTTTTTGCTGGGGTTGAAGGTTGAGATGAAGGAAGGTGTTTCTGTGGAGGCTGAGGAGCTTGCGACATGCTAGAGGGGGTGTCTTGGTATGGGGTCAGGATGTCTTGGTGTTGAAGCATGCTCTGGGCATGCCGATTCATCCATGCCACATCTCGCTTCCTTGATTTGTGGCGCAGTGACGATATGTACAATGTGCCACACTCACAATCAAGCTTCCATCTATAGCAAAAAATGGTCCACCACTTCACATATTCCCTCTTAATGTATTTCCTCCTCGCAAACACATCGTTTCTACCCTCCTACCCTGCACCACTACCTACCCTCTAAACCAACAATCCAACCAACCAACCCTAGCATGACCAAAACCCCCCTCACATCCCTCACATCCCCTAACTCCCAAAAAACCGATCAAATCGTGCGCCTTAAAAGCATCGTCCAGCCACTCACAAGATACCCGTCTGCCCCCCAATCAAATCCATCCCAGTATACCGAACGCCGCAAAAGTTCCAGCATGCCACACATGTCCGAGTGGCTATGTCCTCACTGCTCACATATCAACCGCGGGGAAGGTGGTAGTGGGGAGAAATGCGGGGGGTGTGGGAAGTAGGTGTGGAAAGTAAAGGATGGGAGGAGGGAACTGTCTGCGGTCGGGGAGATGAATGCTAAGGGAGGGATAGTAAGGGAGAAAGACGAGAACTTGTTTGAAGTGTGGGTAGTGTGGGTATTACGATGGCAGGCTGTTGTAGACGAGAGGATTGATGAGGGGATAATATCGTGTTTTTGTTAGAGACACAGACTAAGCAAGTAAGGCATTGACTTGCAGGATGATATGTGATTATGCTGATTTTCCCAAACTCCGTCGCTATGCATAAGATATATCATCAGACGTATTCCTGATTTCACTTCATCGAGTTGGTGTTGCAAGCAACGGCGTATGGGAATTTTTAGGTACCCGAATTGTAAAGATTCGGGTACCTAAAAAGTCCCATACACCGTTGCCTGCAACACCGACTGAATCATCAAACGTAACCTTCTCTTTCCACATATCCCATCTTCTACTACCTAACCCGAAGCCTCTTTCCCGCAGGCTCAACATCAACACCTCCCTCTTCCCTCGCCGAACTGTGCGCTTCAGGCCCAGTCCAAACCTGACTCTTCACAGTCGTAGGAACGGTTGTACCATTTCCTCCTTCACTCCCCTCATTCTTTCCCTCCATCTTCGCTCCAGCTGTCGGACCAACCTTCCTCGGCCCCTCAATAGAAAAGGAAAAAACCTCCCTCTCGGGCCTCTTTGACTTCCCCGTCGCCGGCTTTCTAACAGCATTCCCATCTTCCTCCTTGAACAGCTGCCCCGTCCTCTTCGTCGCTTCCTTACCCGCCTCCGTCGCTTCTTCCACAATTTCCTCGCTGTAGTGCCACATCAGCGCGATTTCACCCCTTACAAGCGCAGTCGCCCACAGACTGAGCAGCACGCCTGGGACAAGCCAGAGAAGGGCAGGTTGTGCGTGATTCATAAGATGCAGCGCGGCGAACGTGGCGACCAGACCACCTACATAGCCCACTAGCGAGGCATTGAAATACGTCTTGGGGAACGTAAACGGCGCTTCCTCTTTCTCGTTTTCTTGGGGTGCAGCAGACTCCCACAGCGGGCGTCCCATGAGTGAATGCGTCCAGAAATGGTCGCTCCAGCGGCCTGCCAGGGGTGTAAACTCCGCCTTTACAACCGTGTCCTCGGCTCCTTCAGTTGTTGCTGAGACGCGTTTCTGGCGGCGGAGGTAGAAGAGGTAGAGATCGAAGCGCAGTGCAAGGCCTATCATGAGACCTGGGATAATGATGTCGCCTAGACCGAGCATGGCAGCGGCGTTCTTGCCCGAGGGCGTGGTGGCGGTGCCGGGTTTGGGGAACATGAGTTTGATGGGGACGTCGAGGGAGGATGCTACTGTTACCATGAGAGGACTGGAAGAAGTGGTGTTAGTAGTGTTCTGTGCATATGGGTGAAGGAGGAGAAGTACGTACGTGAAAAACACCATGTAGATGTCGTAGAAGAACAGCCCCACGAGTATCGCACTGCCTGTCGCAAA